CTAAACCCTTGTCAATTATTCAACACCTTCACCGTTGTTTTCCCGGAAAGTGTATGCTCATTGCTATTCACTAGGCATTCACATTCATTCCGAGACAGACATTTCCCTGAAGTTAGCCGGCGGGGTCTCATTCTGTCCCTCTCTCGCTCTCTAGCTCTCTTTCTCTCTTTCTTTTTCTTTCCCCCTCTTTCTCTTTCCCCTTTCTTCTGTCTGTCCTTCGATTCTTTCTTTTCTACCTTCTTCTCTATCTCTCCTCTTCCTGTCTTTTCTCTTTCCTCCTTCCCCCCCTCTCTCTCCTTCCTGTGTTTCCTTTCCACCTTTTCTCTCTCTCTCTCCACTTCCCCTCCTTCCTTTGCCCCTCCCTCCCTCTCTCCCCTTTACCTCTTTTCTTTCCCCTCCCCTCTCCTCTTTCCTATCCCTTCTCTCCCCTCCCCTCCCCTCCCCTCCCCTCCCCTCCCCTCCCCTCCCCTCCCCTCCCTTCCCCTCCCCTCCTCTCCCCTCCCCTCCTTTCCTTTCCTTTCCTTTCCTTCCCTTCCTTCCCCGCTTTCCCCTCCCTTCTCCTCCCCCTCTCCCCCACCCTCGCCCTCTTCCCCACCCTTCCCCACTGCCATAAAGCAAGGGGACTGTTGTAGGCTGGCTTGCTATGCCTGGGAATGAGTCCACGATAAGACAATCGAACAATACAAGCGTGTGATCTGAATAAGCATGGAAGGGAGGTGTTCGTATGGCCTCACTCTTGACTCCGGTTTTATTGTTATTGTGATACTGGCTTCCTTTTGTGTATTTTCATACATTTGGGGTTTTGTTTCTGTGTGTTGGGTCAAGGGGATAATATTCTGGTTGTTTGCTTTTATTTTTATTATGTTGCATAGTCTTCGGGTGTTATGTGTCAGTGTATCTGTACAGGACAGACAGACAAACATGCAGGCAGGCAGGGTGACAGGCAGGCAGGGTGACAGGCAGGCAGGGTGACAGGCAGGCAGGGTGGCAGACAGACACACACACAGACAGACACACACGCACACGCGCGCACGCACACACACACACACACATACGCACATACACACACACACACACACACACACACACACACACACACACACACACACACACACACACTTACGCACACACACACACACACACTCACTCACTCACTCACTCACTCACTCACACACATACGCATACACACACATATTTTGTACTTGGTTTATATTGTGTGTGTGTGGTGTATGCGTGTATGTGCTTGCGTGCCTGCGCTCGGGCGTGTGGGTACGCGTGTGTTATGTATCTGTATTTATTCTTGTGGATCTTGCTAATTAGAACATAAAATGCTTCAGCGAGCAGCTGTGCTGTCCTCTCGATATTTTAATCTGTTGACATTTAATTATTTTTTCACGCTTGTGAAGTTCAGAATCATTGACATCATTACGGGCGTTATTTTTCCCCCGAGTGGAAAGGTTATCTGCGTATTTGTCAAAATTAAAAGAATCAGATTGAAAAATGGACTTTCGTACCGGTAGGATTGACATTTCTCTATAACTGCACCCAGCCCAAAGCACAGCCGCACGCAAACATGCATGTGTAGGTGTGTGTGTGTGTGCGTGTGTGTGTGTGTGTGTGTGTGTGTGTGTGTGTGTGTGTGTGTGTGTGTGTGTGTGTGTGTGTGTGTGCATGTGTGTATGTGTGTGTGAGTGTGTGTGTGTGTGTGTGTGTGTGTGTGTGTGTGTGTGTGCATGTATGTATGTGTGTGTGTGAGTGTGTGTGTGTATGTGTGTGTGTGTGTGTGTGTGTGTGTGTGTGTGTGTGTGTGTGTGTGTGTGTGTGTGTGTGTGTGTGTGTGTGTGTGTGTGTGTGTGTGTGTGTCTGTGAGTCTGTTTGCGTGTGCTTGTAACTACATCTTTCTATATCCATATATTTATTTATGTAACATGGGCTATAATTTTTCACCACCAACCTTATGTCTATGAAACTCTTTCATTGTATACATTAAATTATTCTGTAATGGGATTCGTAAAATTCGTGTAAAATGGTCAGTTTTTTTAAAAGATGAAATGATAATTCTCTGATAGTGATGATGGTAATAACACCCTCTTATTTTAGTAAACGGATGTAGGCTCGAAATTGTGCGATTAAACTCTACGGATGGTAGGTTGCAGGTTTCAGTTACAAAGGGCCAGAAAATTGCCTGAGCTGAGCTGAGCTGTCAGTAACACCCAAGATTTACATATAGGCAGATGAGCTCCACGGCTTTTCACGATCTGTTTAATGTGTGTTATATAGACTTAGGTAACATGTACTCTGATTTTACATTTATCTATTATCGTTTTGCGGTATACGATTAGGTATAGTTACGTTGATGATTGTGTAGTTGGCTGGATAGTTAGATAGATGTATAAATAGATTAGATTGAGAAGCCGAGGTACATAGATAAGGCACCTGTATGTACGTATGTACGTATGTGCGTATGTATGTAGCTCATGGGAAAGAAAAACGTTTGCATAATTAAGATTTCATAATATTATAAATATAATATCAAAGACCGAGCTGTAGTCCTGATTCTCTGTAATCATATTAACATCTTAGAAACAGTATATTTGGCTTTATGTGAAATAAACATTAATCCAATGGTTTGTCTCCAAATTTGCTCTAACTACTTTGATGTTCGCAAAGTCACAGATAAAGAAAAAAACTTTGATAAAGTATACTTACCTAATTTGCTTATTAATTATGACGATCGTATAAGGCTGGACGTTCAGTTGAGTGCACAGTTGAGTATCCTTCTACAGCTCGAATAAGCGTGTTAAAAGGGTAGGCTCTACTACAAAGTGAATGAGATGTTGACATTAATATAAACTGGGTGAAATTGGTACAGGCATAAGAGGCAGTTGCCATTGGTTCACGTTGAATGAAATATTGACATTAGTATGTATATTTGTACCATTGCCTTCACGTTATTAAGATGTTGTTGTTAGTACAAGCTGGACAAAGTAGTACCTTTAGCCGAGGCTGAATAGATTGTTACCATTAATTCACACACACACACACACACACACACACACACACACACACACACACACACACACACACACACACACACACACACACACACACACACACACACACACACGTACACTGTCCAAGAATCTAGTATGAGATCTTGACCGGAAATTATACCGCAGTATCTGCTTCCTAAAAGAGTTTGTGAGTCTGTTTACATGGAGAGAGGTCAGAGGACGGGGTCAGTGGGGGTCGGGGGTCAGTGGGGGTAGGGTGGAGTGGGTGTTTTTTAGTGTGTGTGTGTGTGTGCGTGTGTGTGTATGTTTGTTTGTTTGAATGCGTGTGTCTGTATGTTTGTGCTGATCACGAGGAAAGAGAGACGGTCAGTATGTATGTATGTATATATATATATATATATATATATATATATATATATATATATATATATATATATATATATATATATATATATATATATATATATATATTCGGAGAAACTAAGCCAAGGTTTTACAAAGGAAAGTCATATCTTTAATTTAGAAACATACTTTTATGTATCTCAACATTAATTTTCTGCTATCTATGGAAGGCGAAAGATATTTTGTTCTATGCTAATTTAGCTCTTTGAGAGAGAGAGAGAGAGAGAGAGAGAGAGAGAGAGAGAGAGAGAGAGAGAGAGAGAGAGAGAGAGAGAGAGAGAGAGAGAGAGAAAGAGAAGGCAGGGATAAGTCAAAACCTAGAATCGCTTAACAAAACACGTAAACGCTTAGTAATCGTACACGAAAATCAAAACCTACACACTAACAAACCTTTGAACATTGGTTATGCAGGAGTAGTAATAGTTGTTAACACGGCAGACTCTTCATTTCTGAAGAGTACAACAGTGACACAGATATGGTAATACATGAGACGAGTCTTGAATAAGCGCTGAGTGCGGGAGGTCGCAGCGCCGGCCAGCCCTGTGAGGGGGGGGGGGGGGCGAAAGGCTGGTGAGAATGACCTGAGCCCGCGGGAGCGAGGGCGCGTCTGAGTGCGGGATCTGCCCTCCAGCCCTGAGAAGCCGAAGGCCGGGGGCGACCTTGACACGTCGAGCGCTGGGCACGAACTCTGTAAACCTGGGTCATCCTTGGCCATAAATAGCCGGCGTCCACCGGAACGCGGCGGGGGCGCCAGCTGAGGCGATGGTTCTCTCCCGGACCTCGAGCCACGTGGCAAAGGCAAGCAGCCACATCGTGGTTATGTACACGGTATACACACACACACACACACACACACACACACACACACACACACACACACACACACACACACACTTATACCCCATCCTCCTCCTACACGCACCCCCCCCCCCTCTACACACATACCCCCACACACACACAACACAAACTTACCCCACGCACACCCTACCCCCCCCCCCCCTTAATAAAACCACACAAACCCTGGCGTTGTTCCCCTGCCCTTCTATTAAGTCAAGTGATAGGCGGCTTAGGGTGTAGACGCGGGCGTGCGCACAGCCCTAGCAGGCGATCTTAGTTCCGATCCCTAACAGTCCTTAGCGGGCACGGCCAGGGTATTATTATAAGGTCGCCGCTTCTTGGTCTCGCCACTTGTTTTAGTTTTTGTTGTTTTTTTCGGCCGCGACTTACCGGCTTTCTTGGCGTTTGGGGGGATTATGTTTATTTGTTTTTTTGTTTTTTTGTTCTTGGTCATATTAGCATAGTGTTATTATTGTTAGCATCATCATCACTCTCATCATGATCATTACCATAATCATCACAATCATCAAAATCATCATTGCCATCACCATCGACATCACCATCACCACCACCATTATCATCTTCACCACCACCATCACCATCACCATTATCATCTTCACCATCACCATCATGACCATCATCATCATCATTTTGAGCTGAGTGTGAGTTTGGTAGTGATATAGTGGTGCAATGGTGGTGAACTGATGGTGAAGTTGTGGCGAACTGATGGTGGAGTTGTGGTGAACT